CTTTTGTAAATAATCATTACACCTCTTGTATATAAATATCACAGTAATAGGAATATGTTTCATTAAAGTCTGTCTGATGAGTGCGTAAGCACGAAGCACTCGGAGTTACAGTGAACATGTCTCGTCTTTAATCCAATCCTTACTATATATCTATTGCTCTGCATCCCTAAGCATCGAGCACTGTTTCACCAGTATAGACCATATTACATACTTTGTTATATATATATATAATCCATGGCAATTTGTTAGACAACACTAACCTTACTTGTCTTTGCTCCTTACCTGAAAAAAGACGAGGAAGCTAATTTCTAACTAATTTTAATATATGAATACATAATGTTACAATATATACAATACGCACGAAATAATTTTAGTCGTATCTGACAGAGGGAACGAAGAATGGGTGATTGAAATGCCTTGGCATTCTAATTGTAAAACCTACCTTTTTTTACCCATATTTTCTTTATAAACACTACCAGTATAGCCATAGATATAAGTCCAATCCAAATAATCACACCAATGACCCCGGCATATATACTGGCTACTGGACTTTTAACTATATCATCCGTTTCTTCATTCAAGATCATTTCTTTTACAGCTGAAACGCAAAATTAAAACATTCGACGACGAATATAGCACAAAGAGTGCACAATTGCTTGGCTCGCACTAAAGAAACACAGGATTTTTGACACGATACACCAAATAAAAATATGGCGACCAATTTGAATGTCTATTTCTGGAATGACTAGCCTCTATTACATGTAAAACACTTTGAGACTTCCAAGTGAACATTAGGCTAGTCATTCCAGAAAAAAGCCATTCAAATGAACTGGTCTCGATATTTCGATTTGTGTGTATCGAAATAGTATATATATATATGTCATTTTGCCGGTCAGGAGGTCCGGATAGGGAAAACTTGCGCACGAGGTCTTGAATATACGAACCGAAGCCGTTAGGCCGAGGTCCGTGTTCAAGACCGAGATCACAGTTTTTCCCTATCCGGGCCGACTATAGGACGGTTGTAAAAAACTTTTTTTTCCCCGTTTTCTTTTTTACTTGTTTTGATAATCGTTTTGGTTTGTTGTTTAGCGGCAAAGCATACCGGACAGATACTGACAAAATACCGCCCACTCAAACAGCCAATCGCCAATCAGAACGCGCATGTTTTAGGATACCGGACTACCCTTTTTGAAGGAAGTGCTGTTCCTGAACACCAAATGCATGAATCGAAGAATTTGAGGGTGGTAGTTAGTAACATCATGCTTATTTGTAGGGGCGGCCGTATCTCTTCTTGAATTCGTGGCAAAACCAATTCGTTGCAAAACCCGATCGTTTAAATTTATCCAAGGATAACAACGATAATAAGCCGAAACGTATATTAAGAATCATTTTGTTTAATTAAGAACGAAAGGTTTAAACAAAAGAAAGTGAGAACTTTAACATTAAAATCGCATGCGCACTCAATGAAAACGATGCTTAAATTACGTGTTGGCTTATGTTATTAACTGTGACTAATAATGGCCGCGACGTCGCAATGCCAGGGATTTGGATATACATCTGATATTTATAAAGGTATGTTTTACTTTCATTTATATGAATGTACCTTTCCTYTTTGGTTCTTTAGTTGTAAACTCAGTGCATACTGCCTTCCCATACCCAACTGCATTTCGTGCATACACCTTCACATCATATGTTGTATTCTCATTAAGATCATTGGTTACGCAATACGTAGTTTCGGTGATAGCCTCTCTCGGTGGAATTGTGTTGATTTGCACTTTGTATTCTATGACAGGGCTTCCTCCATCATCAACGGGACTGTCCCACTTGATCACTGCAGAAGTTGCTTTGATGTCTGAAACGAAAACATTCGCTGGTTCTACAGGGTCTATTGAAGAAAAAAGTAGCGATGATAAACAAAGATGAATAGTAGCAGAAAGAGTAATAATGATAATTTATTGATGGTAATTTCAGCGGTGATGGTCAGCGTCGATCGGATGGGCCCATCTGTCATTCAGTCGACTTTATCATATGACGTTTTCGTCACTAACCTATTTTTCTGAAGGATAGTTACATCTCAATAATTTTAATACAATATTATACAAAGTCATCAATGAAAATGAAGTTATTTACATTTTACTAAGATTTCGGTTCTCGTTCTAACTGGATCCTCGTTTGGATTATTCGTAGCCTGGCACTCATACGTCCCACGTTGGTGTCTCGTGATGTTGGTGAATCTGAGAAATGCTTCACCAACTCCATCACTGATAAATGTTGGGTTCTTTATAATTCGTACCCACGTTACGTTCGGCATAGGATCTGCTGCTGCTGAACATCGGATGCACAGACTTGATCCCTCATTGATAGGCGTAGATAAATTGACAGGAGTAGTAAAGCGAGGACGTTCTGGATCCAACAAATTGATTAATCATTAGTTGGGAGCTATTAAAAGTATAGTTTGGTATTAACGGTGTCCAAGTGAATATATTAATCATAAAACATTCAAGTACCTTTAAGTATATGCTATTTGGTATGGAATGCAGTAAACTAGTGTACCGATATAGGTCTTAATGGTTTGTCACCTATTTTGTTTTAGCGTTTAACTTTTGGTGTAAACCAAAGAATGTGTACCTTACCCGTAACAACCAGTTGTACTTTACTTCTTATTGGTGATTCCGCTAATAACAGCAGACTACATTCATATAGCCGTTCATCAGCTTTGGTGACATTAGAGATGACAAGAGTAGCAGTGGACTCTTTACTGACTCGACCACGCAGTCTTGGAGGACATTGTTTGCTTATAACGAACTTCCATCCATTGTAACCATCCTCGACGCCGATAACTATTCTAAATCCACTTGTATTATACAGAGCCCACTCTGGTGAATATGGATCAAACATTGCAGTTCTATTTCTAACATTGTAATCCCACTCAAGTCTCGCTGTACCTCCACTGGACACGTAGAGCTTACTTGGAGGTTCTCGAGAGAACCATTGAATACCTGTTGAATATCATGTATTCATATCATCCGCATGAAACAAATAAAAATAGCCAAATTAAACAGAACGACCTTAATTGCGTAGGATTACCTTTTGAAAGAGTTACTAATGAAATCAGCAATCCAATCGTTTCAATGTAAAAATACTTCATACTTCATTGCCAATGGTACTTCTGTATCAAAGTTGTGGTTTCAAAGTACAGGCCGGTTAGTAACGACTTTTTCATAGAGAGCGTTTATTTGCTCTTTATTATTTTTCTAGTCAATACCAGARAGGAAAACCAAAAATGGAAGTGTCAATGTTAAAAAATCCAAGATAGAAAGTAAGGAGAAAAGTATCCTCATCTACTTTCGAATCCCATCGAGTCGTTCACGGACCAATCAGAAATAGCAGAAAATGTATTAGCCGACTTGTATTGTAAACGGGATATCTATACATAGTACTCAGTTGATGAATTCAGAAAATCTATTGTGTTCTTTTGTCAGTAAATTCATTGTATTTTTATGAAAAACTTGGATCAACTCATGGTTCCTACGTAGGCTCGTTCAGCTGTGAATTCCATTATGAAATATTTGAACGCGCTCTATGATTAGCTCGACACCGTATTCATATCAAAGCACAGGGACACGCTTCCGCAAATATCTTACAAAAGCTATACAAAACCTATTGTTATGTCTCTGTACTGTGAAAAGCAAGAGGAACGCTCAGCTACGCCTGGGGTTCCTAAGCTCGCTTATCTCTTGCTCAACCTTAGCTCCCAGCTTATTCTATTTCCAAGARATATGTGCGTGCGTTTTATATTCATCAACTATATTCCTGTATTCAATATGGGTTTTCGCAGTATTCCGAGAATGTTACAAGGGCGGATCCAGGGTGGGAAGGGTTGCTGAAGCCCCCCCCTTTCCTTCAGGAGAAAAAAAAAACTTTTTCTTGATTAAGGGTTATAACTATAATGCATTCTTTTACACATATATTCAGTATATCTATCTTACAATATTGTAATGCAAGAAAATAGAAAACAAATTAAAACAACAACGCCATAGACGTCATTAGATGTACTACACCAAAAAATGAAACTAATAAACCACCTTGAGGTTATATTCGTAGTTTTACTTTTTATCCTCCATATTAGCATAAAGATGCAGTTTCTGATATTCAGATTTTTGTGGATGATTTAAAAAGTTTAATGCTTCGTATTTTGGAGGAAGCATTCCAAGTTCTATTTTTAAAGCACTGCCATCCACCACCGCTGTCCTGTTTAGAGCTTGGTAGCCTTGCATGTTTGGTAATAAAGCATTATCATTAAGCTCTTGATAATAATGGTGGGTTTGTGACCCATGAACGTTGTCGTTTCCTTTTCCTTGTTCTGAATTTCCTGTATTGTCATTGGATGACTGAGATTTTTCTGATATTCTTTCGTAGTCTTCGCTTGGCGATGTCTTCGATGCATTTACGGATAGAACGTTGTTTGTAGTCGATAACTCTATCGTTGTGAGAGAAACTGACCTTTCCTCCTGACATCAAAAAACCGGTTAGCAAAATAAATAAACAATCAAACAAAAATGAAGGAATGAAGGAAAAGGAGGGAAGGAAGGAATTGAAGGAAAAATAGAAATAATAAAAACAATAACAAAATAACTTTGTAATTCTTTTTAAGGGAAGAATCAAAACGATATAAATGATTACTGGCATACTTCATGAGCTGTTCGAACCGGTAATTAGCAAATAAGTAAACAATCAAACGAAAATGAAGGAATGAAGGAAAAGGAGAGAAGGAAGGAATTGAAGGAAAAATAGAAATAATAATAAAAATATTGAAATAACTTTGTATTTATTTTTAAAGAAAGAATCAAAACGATCTAAAAGATTATTGGCATACTTTATGAGCTGTTCGATCAAAAACAGGACTGGCAAATCTGTAGGAGAAAACACACACAAAAATATTTTACAATTTTAAAGGATATCGGGTATTAAGTCGTGGTATTAAGCTTTATTTATTATTACACACGGTGCAACATTGGGCGCGAAGTTGGAAGCAATTAATGTTGCGATGCATGACACACGACGCAATTTGCATTGTTGTACGCAACGTTGCTGAAGTAGAAAACTATCCTACTTTAGCAACATTGCCTTCAATGTTGCGCGCAATTTTTTGCAGCGGCTGACAGTAGTGCCTATATTATTTATCGTTCTTCTATGACAATCTGTATCAGTGGATATAGCTTTACTTTATTCTGTGTTAGTTGGCAATATATAGTATTTGGTTTTACTCGTAGTCAAAGTTACATCACCTCGTAATATCTTCTCTGTTATCTGCAACTAATACATTTATTCACGTTAATTATAAATTCACTAGTATAACTTATACGCTTTCCGTTGAGACATGACAAATAACATGAAAACACGGAAAAAGAGAAAACAAAGCTAGGAATAAACAAAGAAATAAATAACTAAACGTAAAACGCGCCAAGCAAAGTGACAGAATTAAAAAAATAAGCAATACAACGTAAACCAAACAATGATAAAAACAAAAGGCAAGAAAAGTACAAAAAGGCAAAAGGGAGAAAGAATAA